GTGGGGACAGCAGGGAGGGCAGGGTCAGTGTGGGGACAGCAGGGAGGACAGGGTCAGCGTGGGGACAGCAGGGAGGGCAGGGTCAGCGTGGGGACAGCAGGGAGGGCAGGGGTCAGTGTGGGGACAGCAGGTGCTGGCACAAGGCACCGTCCATCCAACCCTGGGGCTCCCTGCCTTCCTCCATGGGAATTTCAGGGATCCCCTTGCTGCCCTGCCCACCCTGGGCCACCCCAGAATCTGCCCTCTTCCTCCTACACAGACCCACACTCATTTTTAGCATTCCTGCAGCATTCTCTCCTGCATCAGGGCTTTAGAGGGAAAAGGAAACAAAAGGACAATCAGGACAATGGTCAGACCCCTGAGGAACAGCCCCTTCAGCCAACTTCTTAGAGGCTTTGCATTGATGCTCATCACCAGCACAGCCATCAGAGAAAGAAGGGTCATCAGCAGAGGTGTTCCCAGCCCTTACAGCTCATTCCTCAAACCCTTTTTCCACAACTGCTCCAGGGTGCCAGGAGAGCCCGGGCCGGGTGGGGCTCACCTGTTGCGGTTGAACTGGATGGCGAAGTCGGACATGACCTGCAGGGCTTTGTTGGTCAGCACAAGGTCCATGGAGATGGAGCCCACCTGGCGGCTGAAGGTGCCCGAGATCTCCAGCCCCTTGGCTTTCATGGCAGGGAGCCAAACCTGGGTAAGGGAGACGAGAAATCCTTGGGGTATCACCCAAAACGGACCCTCTGGTGCTCCMCCGCCTCCTCCCGGGGAGGCCACGGGGGTCTGTGCCCCCCTCAGCCCCGAGCTCAGCCCCACTCACTGTTTTGGGGGCCACGTAGGATCCTGAGAGGGTCCCCACCCCGCCTGTGAGGTCGAAGAGGTCGCCCAGGCCGCTGCCAAGGGGTGCCCCCACATTTGCRGGCGCTGCGGTGCTGGGGGCTGGTGTGAAGGTGCTGCCGCCGCCGCCACCCATCTGTGGGGACAAGGGAGGGGTTACAGGGGGCACCACAACGAGTGGGGCGGGAGGAGGATGAGGAAGGTGAGRAGGAAGAGGAGGAAGATGTAGAGGATGAGAGGGTTTGGGTGTGAGGGCACACTCACAGCAGGGCTGCCTCCCACATCRCTGCGCAGCTGCAAGAGAAGAAAGGGGCATCAGCAGGGGCAGGGGCAGGGCCAAGGGCACGGGGATCCCCCAAAATGTCCCCTCTGGGCACTCCCTGGAAGCAGCAGTGTGGGGCAGCAAGGGCCTGGAGTCGGGACACTCCAGAGCGGGAGCTGTGAGGGGACATGGCTGCCCCAGAGGGAAGCCAGGGGTCACTGGGGCTCGGGGTGGGAGCAGGGGCAGCCAGGGCTGGGCACGGGGCTGGGCACAGGGTGATCCATACCCCTTCCGACTCGTCCCCCATCTCCAAGCAGAAGCAGGCAAGGTGGAGAGAAGAGCCAGCCACATGCAGAGAGAAGCCAGGAGAGCAGAGACCAAAAAGAGAGAGAGAGAGAGAAGAGAAAAGGGAGGAGGGGACAGAGGGGACAGAGGTTAGTCCTGACACATCCGCCTGTCTGTCCATGGCTGTCCTGGAGCCACGGGACAGCACCAGACCTCACTGCCAGCCCGTCACCACTCCCTGTGAGCCACARGGAGCCAGGGCAGCATTTCCAGGGTTACAAAACAGGAAACGCAACAATGCTGCCTCCCCTTGGGATAAATCTGCTGGATCTTGTGAGTCATGGAGAAAACTCCAAACTCAGTTCCTCCAGGGAGTCTGGAGCGTCTCCAGCACCCACAGGGCAGGTTTTCCTGGGCAGGGAGAGGTTTCCATCCCGCCTCACCCCGAGGCCAAACCGCTGCTTGGGCTGCATTCCCAGGAGGACACGCTGTCACCTCCTGGCACAAGGGACATCCCATAAAGTACCCCACAGGCTGGGAGCGAGCACATCCCACCCAGCCCTGCAGCACTTTGGGGTCAGACAGGGGCCCAGGAGAGCAGCCACTCCTGCAGCACAGCACAYGGAGTGGGAACACCCACACCCACGGAGGGAAAAGGCATGGGAAGTGGTGGGTGGGACCCCTCCAGCCGCGGGATAAATCAGGGTGTAGCCCCTCTGTCTTCAACCGCTACAGGAGGACAGGAGCAGCCCAGGTGTCCCCAGGCTGGCTGGTCTGTCCTACCCCAGGACAGYCCAGACTGGAGCCAGCACCAACCCAGCACGATGGCCCCAGGACAGCCCGGGATCAGGGAGGGAGCATGGCAGCTGGGACAGACGTACCAGGCTGTCCAGGCCACCCCCGAGGAGGTCCACGGCGCCCATCTGCACCGAGGAGGTGGCCATGGGTGGCCCGCTGACCGGGGGGCCCAGGTCCAGGTTGAGCAGGTCCCCCAGCAGGTCCCCCTGGGTGGGGATCACGGAGGGCTGATCCCCTGCAGGTCCCCCCGCCGGGGCTGTGTCCGGGCTCTCAACGCTCTCGCTCCTGAAGGGAACAGCACCAGAATGGTGGAGAGGGTGAGCAACTCCAGCTGGGACAAGGGGAACACTGCAGATGGCAGCTGGCTCAGTTGGACCTCCCATCCCAGCATGGCTCCCAAAATTTCAGTGCTGAGCAAGATCACTCTATCCCATCCTGGCTCCCAGAATTTCAGTGCTGAGCAAGATCCTCCATCCCATCCTGGCTCCTGAGATTTCAGTGGCAACCGAGATCCCCCATCCCATCCTGGCTCCAAGATTTTCTCATGGAGATCACCTTCCATTGGGATCACTCGTTCAGCTCTTTAAGGATAAAGAACCCTCACAGCTGAACTCACACAGCCCTGCTCCTACAGAATCCCTTGGGAACGGGGGCTCAGCTCCRAGCCCAGCAGCCCCACAGCCACTCAGCTCCCTCACCCACAGCCCTGGCAGTCCCAGCATGGGGCAGGGATGCAGGAACACTCACGAGCCCGTTCGTGGGAGCAAACTCTTGTGCACAACACCCCTGCTGCCCTCCACGAAGGCGCTGGGGGGTTTGTGGTACACCGAGGCCAGCGTGCCGATGTAGCAGATGAGCTCGTCCAGCAGYGTGGGCTCGATCAGGTCTGTCTCCTCCGAGATGAGCGGCTTCTCGGCCAGCACCACCTCCTTGGCGGCCACCGGGTCCGTGGACAGCAGGCGCCAGTAGATGTAGCCACGGTCCCGCAGGTCGGGGTTGTCCGAGTCCTTTGGGAAGGCATCGGGGAGCTGCAGCTACTACAGAGCTACTGAGAGCAGCTGCAGCTACCACAGAGCTGCTCAGAGCTGCTGCAGCTACTACAGAGCTACTCAGAGCTGCTGCAGCTACTACAGAGCTACTCAGAGCTGCTGCAGCTACTACAGAGCTACTCAGAGCTGCTGCAGCTACCACAGAGCTGCTCAGAGCTGCTTTCCCCTTCTAAGCGTTGCAGGGATCGAAGTTAAAGAGGGTACAAGGTGCCTCCTGAGCCATGGGAGCATCTGTGCTCTGCAGGAGTTTAACTGTCAGCATTCCCAGAGGGACTGGGGACAAGGGATGGAGGGACAGGACACAGGGAATGGTTCCCACTGCCAGAGGGCAGGGATGGATGGGATATTGGGAAGGAATTGTTCCCTGGGAGGGTGGGCAGGCCCTGGCACAGGGTGCCCAGAGAAGCTGTGGCTGCCCCTGGGTCCCTGGCAGTGTCAGGGCTGGACACTGGGGCTTGGAGCAGCCTGGGACAGTGGAAGGTGTCCCTGCAGGTTGGAACAAGGATATTTAAAGTTCCTCCCAACCAAASMACTCTGAATTAATGTCCAACCTCCTGCCTGCTGCCACATGACAAGCCATTCCCAGGGAATGGCAATCCCATGGAAAGCTCTCCCAGGTGTCACCCACCTGTGTGGCCAAGCTCAGCACCTGCTGCACCAACTCCTGCGTCTCTGTGGGCTTCTTCAGGAACAGCTTCACGATGGCCGTCAGCAGCTGCAGCTGGACCTGCAGGSACAGATGGACAGACAGACAGACMGATGACACTGGGTTTGTGCAGGAACACACGGATTTACCCCAGGACCTAACCCCAACCTGCCTTTCATGGGACCCAGGGCTTGGTGATCATGTCAGCGGCGGTGACACATCAGGGCACCTGACCCAGCCCCATTCCAGCCCATCTCTGCACCCTCAGAGAGGCAGGGTGATCCCAGCATCATGGGGAATGATACTGGGAGCAGATCACACAGTCCCACGGAGTATCCTTTAACTTGCACATGGATGAGCAACAGGAATTCTATTGGGACAGGCCCTCCCAGCCTCTCAGGGAGCCAGGATCGCTGGCCTGGCTATTTTGCATTTGCAGACTTTGCCCTGTTCACCGTCACTTGGTTACAGTGTTTTGCAGAGTTTTCCAGAGATGGAAACCCTCCAAAATTCCACAGGCAAACCCACTGGCCCTCAGTCACCCCAGGAGACGGGGCAGGCACAGCTCCCTCTGCTCCTTTTCCAGCACCAATGGGATCCTGTGCCAGCACAGGGGAACAACCAGGAGAATCCTGGAATAACCAGGAGAGATTGCCTGGAATAACCAGGAGAGGAGACTGTCTGGAATAACCAGAAGACTGCCTGGAATAACCAGGAGATTGTCTGGAATCCTGGAATAACCAGGAGACTGCCTGGAATAACCAGGAGATTGTCTGGAATAACTAGGAGATTGTCTGGAATAACCAGGAGACTGCCTGGTGCCTACCAAAACAGGGAAGGTGCTTGGGACAACACCACAGTGGCATTTCAGAGAATCATGGAGCAGCTTGGGCTGGAAGGGACCTTAAATCCCRTTCCATTCCACCTCTTGCCACAGGCAGGAGCACCTTCCACCATCCCAGGTTGCTCCAAGACCAGACCACACTCCTGGGCCACATCCTACACCCGAATTTGCCACGGGACACGGCTGCTCTGATCACCCACACCAACACCACCTTCAGAGCAAAGCATCCCCTGCTGCACCGAGCAGCTGTGTCACGGTGTCACCCCGTGCCAGCAGGTCCCCTGGCACACCTGGGTGCTCTCGTCGTGGAAGCCCTCCAGGAAGCTCTCGAGCAGCTCGTCGGCGTTGTCGATGCGCTCGGCGTACTCCCCCACGATCCAGATCATGGCAGCCCTGGCCTCGGGCTCATCCAGGGAGTCCAGGTTCTCGCAGAGCGTGGCGATCACGCTCTCATACCTTGCCGAGGAACAGGCAGAGAGCACGAGAAAGCTCAGCAAGAGCAGGAGATCAAATCCTGATCCACCCCAACTCCAAACCACATCCCACTGCCTGCAGCAGCACTGGGAAATGGCCAAGGGCTCCTGCCTG